CGTGCAGCGTAGCCCACCTCTGCAGGTGGGGGGTCGGCGTTGCTAGGCTGTTTCCTCCCCAGCTGCCCGAGGGCGGAGGGGGCGGCTGGCGCCGAGAACCCGGTCCCTGTGGGGGAGGGGTGGGGCTAGGGGCCCGGAGTCTCCCCGGGGCCTCCCCAGAAGGCTGGAGAACGAGAAAACGCGACTTCTGCAAGCCCTTCTGGAACCTATTAAGCAGCTGGGGCCTTGAGCCTGAACAAATAACCACGTTTTAATGGATTCTCCTGTCGGGATAGGAGCGTCGGTTGGCGGCTCCGTTCTCCCGTTTAAAGCGTCTTCCTACTCTAATTCAGACGTTTTAGTCTGTGGGTTTACCCTTTTGTGACAGACTCCTCCCTGCGGGCGCTGGTAACCACACTGAAGTCCCTGGGAGACCTAGAGAAAGATGGCTGTACTGGGGCTCTGCCGGAGTCCAGAGCCTTTTCTGAGCGTGTTGAGGCAGGAGGTGGGCCCAAAGTTTCTTTGTCTTCGTCCTTCAGGGACGATGACTAGTGTCCTCCTCCTGCCTCTTGGAAGTGCTGAGTGCAGCCAGGTCTGCAGAAACCCTGTTTGTTTGATTGGTCTTGTTAGGCTGAAGACACTGGGCTGGGCCTCTAAGGGTCAAGGCGCAGCTACGTGCTCCTGTGTTAGAGGGAGCTTCCTCCATCCAGGTCACAGTCAGTTCCCAGCTCTGGGAGTAGCTCCTTTGAAAGCCTAGTATTTAAGTTTTCCGATAGATGTGTTGCTCCAGGACATAGTTTTAGTACTGTAAGATTTTGTGGTCACTTGTACTCTTGGCTTTTGGCTACATTTGGCCTGAGACCCCCTTTGGAAAAACTGAGGCCCAGCTGGTCCCTGGTCCTCAGCGGGAGTTGTGCTAGGATTAGATAGAGGCTGCTTCAAGCCCAGCTCTGCCTCAGAGACCTGAGAAGGAGGCACTTGCTTTGGGCTCCTTGAATCATGCCGGTAGGGGTTAATCCCCTAGGAAACCCCTCCGGGAGACAGACGCTCGTGGTGTGGGTCCACGTTCTGGGCCGCTTTCTCCCATTGTTTCTCTACCAGCTCCTCCCAGGCTTGTGGTGGGCAGAAGGGTGGGGATGACACTCAACCTGCTGGCTTTTCTCAGAAGAAAACAGACTCCCCAGGGGTGGTGTGTTGCGAGGCTTCAATCAAAAAGCAGCTTTGGGGCTGTTTAATCTGCAAAGTCAGATGTGAATGGGGGGCGGGGGGGAATTGCAAAGCAGGCGTTGTCTTGTGGGAGCGCTGGCCTTCCGTGTTTGGAAGGGAGACTGTCAGGCTCTGAATCGTTCGTGGTCGTCTTCGCCACCTAGAACTTTTCGGAGCGTTGCCAGCTGGGGTCTTGTGGGTATTGTCCGTTGATAATCAGGGGTGGAGCAGTTGAGGCGTGGAAGCTGCGTGCTGTGGATGGCCCCTACTGGAGGGCTGATTGAATGCACTTGGCTGAGGATGACAACGTAACCCTTCTCTTTCTCAACCCCTGAGTGAGGTCCTTCGGTACTGAAGACCGTCCCACAGATAGGCCTGCCCCCCCTAGAGAGGAAGTTTATGAGTACATCATCTTCCGGGGAAGTGACATCAAAGACATTACTGTGTGCGAACCTCCGAAAGCTCAGCACGCGCTCCCCCAGGACCCTGCTATTGTTCAAGTAAGTGCGCTGCCCCGTTTCTGCCGTGGGCACTGTCTCTAAGAGGCGCCGGCTTCCAGTCGGAGCTGGGTGTCATCTGGCCAGAGCGCTCAACTCGAGGAACAGCCTCTTCATGAAAAGCAGTTTAACTTTGTCTGGCTATTGGCGTTCAGTGGGAGGCTTCATCTGTGGCACGCACAGGGTGTGCTGTAGAGTGAGGACGGCCCAGCGTGTTGGGCGGTGCAGGGGGCAGTGCTCTTAGTCTTGCCGGCACCCGGTGTTTGTCCTTTGTCTCGGGTGGGTAAGCCTGAAGCCCCGGTGCATGCCGGGAGTGAGAGAGATGCTAGTAGGGACCTGGGACAGCAGGGCTCGCTCTCCCAACACCGCCCTGATGATAAAGTCAGCGTTGTGGGATGCTGAATTCGCAGGTGTCACGCCGTGTGCCTGCCTGCTGTGTTATGACGTGTTCTGCCCAGGATTACTAGGGAGTCCAGGCTAATATCTTCTTGGCTTGTAAACCTCGACTTTCACCGACTCCTGCGGGGCTCACGCTGCAGGAGGGGCCGGGGCAGAGCGTGCTCCCTGCGGGGTGGGGCTTGCACGCTGGGCTGTGTGGGCACGTGGAGAAGCCCCGGGCCAGACTTCTGAAAGGTTTGAGGTGAGCGGCCTTGGGAACTCCAGGAGAGGGAAGTGCTCGAGCCAGGCCTTGAGGGACGAAGGGGCCTCCCGGGAGCACGGGGAGCTGGAGCGGGGACGCCGCCTGGAGCTAGTTCCCCGGCTACACAGCTGTGCCCCGGTGCGTTGGGGCCAGGGCCCAGGTGAGGATGCCGTCCTCGTCCCTGGCAGAGCCTGGGCTCCCTGACGACCGGCAGTGGGGCCACTAGAGGGGTTCATGGGGTTAGGAGAAGGTCGTGTTAGAACTACCTGGCAGGTGAAGCTGGGGGTGAACGTGGAAAAGGCAGCTCTGAGCCCCTTAGGCCACCCTGCGGGCTCACATGCCCCTCAGTGCCGCCTCAGCCTCCAGGAGCAGGCTGACGAATCGGGCTGCCTTTCCCGGTCTGCACGGTGCTCTCCAGGCAGGGTGACAGGAGGGCCCTGAGCTGCTCTCACCTGTGTGTCTCATTGCTCAGTCTTCCCTGGGCTCGGGCTCGGCCTCCTCCTTCCAGCCACACGTGCCTTACAGCCCCTTCCGAGGGATGCCGCCCTACAGCCAGCTGGCCGCCAGCTCCCTGCTCAGCCAGCAGTATGCCGCTTCCTTGGGTTTAGGTGAGTAACCTTTTAATACCTGGTAAAGTGCCTGTGCCGTGACATCCAGGAGCGGGGCCAGACCCTGGTGGTGGGGACGCTGTGTTCGTGCCACGTTCAGCTGTGCGCACTGAGCACCTTCTTCAGTGGCCCTTCAACTAGTTAGGACGCTTAGTAACTCCTCAGTTGAGTGGAAGAGGCAGCAGGGTGAGTTTTGGAACAGATGAATCGAATCAAAAATTCATTTAAAGTGTCAGCCTGTGTCTGGGTGGAAGTTGTGGTATGTCTGGTTCAAAGAAGAAATAACCGATGTGTGTAATTACAGATGAGTTCTAACCATGTGCACATTTGTCAGCCTATAAATATAAAAGTTAAATGCAACGCCCACCTATCCCATCCTTTTACCATTCTCGTGTCAGTGCTTTGCTCGAAAATGAAGTTTCCCCTGAGGCTGAGTAAGGTTCGCTTCTACACGCATGGAGCGAGAGTCACCCTGGCCTTAGGTTTGCGGCACATTCAAACCGTAGAGTCGCAGGCGTCACCCCTTCACTCATGAGTCACGTGCTTCTAATAGAAGAACCTGTTGTCTTGATTGCTGCTCCTGGGGTGCAGGAGCCCTTCTCAGCTTGGCTCCCCGTTTCTAGATTAGGCTTGTGTGAGCAAAGTGTCCTATGAGAGATGGCTGGGCTCTTTCCAAGCCTGCTATACACAAGACGAGTTTCTCATTACTTATTTGTGTGCCTTTTTTTTTTTTTTTGCTCTTTTCTCCTTTATCTTCTTTTAGAAAAGTTGGTAACCCCCCCAGCCTCAGCCGCGGCTTCCAGCCCTAGCTCTTCTCCATCTCCACAGCCCGTTTCAGAGCTTGACATGTCCTCAGAGTCACATCAGCTCACTTCCAAGGGTAACAGCAGTTTTGCAGAACTGCATGCTGTCTTGCGAGCCATCCTGAGCGAGGGGGTAAACCAGTAGACCAGAATGACAGTAGCTGTAGCAGATAATTTGCCAAGCCCGTGGATCAGTTAAACTGCCTCTGTGTGTTTCTGCACATAATCCTGACTTATTAACTCTCACAGTTTTAAAGAGGGTATTAGAAAGAACCAGCAGTGCACTTTGTTCGCTCTCCTGGGTCCAGGGTCTGTTTTGACCTGTACTGGGATTGCCACGTATGGGAAACGTCCCTCTGCACAGAAGGCCACTTCCCGGGGTTTCTGCTGGTCCTAAATGCAGTGCAGGTTGCTGGGTAAGACTGCAAGGCGATCCTCCAATTAACAGGCATATGCTGCTCTAGGATCCGTGTGGCACATTCCTCACCCACCCAGGGCGATTAGCATCGGGGGCCTCGGGTGTCTTTGTAAAATGAAGCACCATTAAAATTGGGTGGCTAGCCTGAGTTGTTGACCGGGTGAGCAGTGGGCCTGATGACTGGCTTGGTAACACTGGTTTGTCCCACCTGTGTGCCGGGTGCCGCACCTGTGGGCGGTTTTTTTGCCCTTTCTGGGCCTTCTCCTTTCACCGGAGGTCTGATGTGAGAGCCTCGTGTGCGCCGCCCTCACCTTGGCAGAGACTCTGTCCAAGATGATACCTGGGGCTTTCATTGTGGCACACAACTACTGTCAGTCTGTTACTTTGCATGTGTTGCTTTCCTGCATGGATGCCAGTGGATCTGAGTACAGCGGTAGTGATGTTTTTTTCCCCACTTAAAAATTGCACAAGATAGTTCATTGTCCTTAGGATCATTTACCTAAAACTGCTCTTAGGGCAAGATAATTTGAGCTTTTTTTATGAAAAGCAAATGAGCCCAAGATTCTTGCCCCATCCAGTTACAGCGTGAACAGGAAGCAGCTGTCTTGCTCAGGGAGGGCCGTGCTGAGTGAGGCGCTAGGCCGGAGAAAGTGGTCTAGGTCAATGAATGCCCATCACGGAGGACACTTAAAAGTACCAGTAGGGGGGCTTCCCTGGCGGTCCAGTGGTTAGGAATCCATGCTTCCACTGCAGGGGGCACGGGTTCGATCCCTGGTCGGGGAGAACCAGGATCCCGCATGCCGCACGGCCAACAAAGGGGAAAAAAAAAGTATCAGTATGTAGGGCCTGCCCTTTGAGTACTTTTGATCCGGTTGTGAGGAATTTCTCAGAGTAGTTTCTGACAGTAGTTTCTGTTCTATGTTTAAAAACAAAGGTAGACTGTCCAGTCTTCACCGTGTTGGGCTGCCCCTCCGATAATAGTTACTCCGTGGTTAGGGCTCATTTTCTTCTGTCTCAAAAGTCTGTGCACCTCCACCCAGTCCTCAGTTGTCCCATTTAAACAGTGCCCACCGGAACGTGGGAGAGGGAAGGGAGGAGATGGCCTGATGTGTGTGGCACACCCTTCTCTGTCCTCTTGCGGCAGAGGCCCGTCTCGTGAGGGGGACCTCCACTGAGGCCGGGTTCTGAGCACTCCTGCGCTCAGGCTTGGTGATGCCGTGTAGTGGGAACAGACTCAGTGCAGCGCCGTCTCCAAGGGCAGCCTGGGAACCCTTCGTTTCTTAACGATGAGCCTTCACCCGGAGGAATGCAGGCTGTTATTTCTCTGTAGTCAGCTCTCATCACTTCATCCTTTTTGGTTTTGTTGTTTCTTAAGCAAAAACAACAGTGTTCTAGAATTTTAACTTCAAAGGCTGAGCACTGCATTTTGTGGAAGATGCCAGACTGGGATGGTTCTTGTCCAGCATGGCCCAGAGCGAAACACACTCTCAGACTGAATTCACCGCATCTCGGGACTGTCGAGCCCCCGTGGGGTTAGAGCTTGTGTGGTTTGGGGGAAGCTTTTTCTAAGCTGCTTGAGAGGTGCTTATTGTGCTGGGGTGTTTTTCCCTCCTCCGGATGCCCTAACTGGGGGAGCCTGCTGGCTTTTTTGCTGCCTGGGCTAGACGCAGAGGGGATGGTGCGGGGTCGGGGGGGGCTTTGCCTGGGTTCGGCAGAACCTCTCCAGGCGGTTGCCTTCCTCCTGCCGCACAGCCAGCTGGACGAGGGGGGTGTGGGGTGTGTGTGTGTGTGTGTGTGTGTGTGTG